GCCGGGGCCCTTGTTTGGAGAAAGTCGAGCAAGCCATCATAAATTATTGGACATGCATGCACAGATTCTCTCTCTAAAGCGACCCCCACTTTGTCGTAAAAAATAAACCAGTTGTAGTGTTCATTTTACATCGAACTTTAATGATCTAAATATTTTAAATTTTAAACCGCCTTTCATAGAATATTTTTTCAAAAATTCATTTCAATCCAAAACATTTATTCATTTGATTGTCATGACGAAATTTCAATATTTCGTAGTACATAGTGTTCATCAATCTTCTTGAGCTCAATTAGAATCATCAAACATTTTTTATTTGGCTAACATTCTCCAAGAATAATGTATGAAGTGCAACTTGAAAATATATAGTTCCCATTGTTAAAGTTCCTGCAGATTTGAACCCCACAACTAGTCCCAATTATTTTTATTTCTAATTTTTTAAATATCGGCATGCATGCATGCAGAGATGTGGAAGTGATTTCCACAAAAATACCCATTTTTACTTCATGCTTATTATAAAGTTTTTGTTTCTTGCTTCCTCTTTGATTGAGTTAATCACTAGTGAAAAAATTATTTGCGCGACTAAACTTTACACGACACACTAAATTTCGTCATGCAATGGACATTTGCGCGATGAAATTAGGGTATTTTTTGCACGATGAAACCAAATGTTCTTCACGCAAAAGCTGAGAAAAAACACGAGGAACGGGAGAATTGGCACCAAAATGTTGCGCAACGAATTCTTCGTACCTTAGTATTTTGCAACGACAGTCTTTGATTCCCTTGATTAGTCATTTAGCTGGAAGTGGGAGTTGGACTGAAAGAGAGAAGTGAATGGAAGAAGAAAATAGAGACGAACCTAATTGCTGAGAAGCGATGGTGACTTTTCTAAGATTTTCTGGAACGCTACATTTTAATTTCCGAAAAAAAATTCGAGGAATGGTCCATAAACTGTGATTGAATTGTAACTTTGGCCTTGAATTAAAAGTTTCATTACATTCAGTCTTTGAAATTGATAAAACTAGAAAATGATGCCCGCGCATTACTGCAAATTAAAAATTATATGAAAGATTATGTTTGAAAGATTGAAGAATTGCGTGGTAGAAGATTAATATTATTTACATTCAAAAAGTTAGAAAAAATTTATACACAAAATGTTTTTTTTTCTATTTACATGCATTTATGTTTATAGAGAAATTAATTTACCATTCTTTGTCTTAAGCAGCAAAATTCTCATTCCATCGGGTATCAAAATAAATTATATCAAGATAGAAGTGATATTCACCAATTGGAGTCCACGTAGTAAAAAGCCTTGTCAGAAAAAAGGACACAAATTGAAAACATCACATAGTCACCATTTATTATCAAGCAAAAGCCCAGCAAGAGTTTACTTTGAAGTATACATATGTAAGAATAAAGTTTAGTGGATTTATACAGTATAGGTAAAGTTTTACGACATCAAATTCTTAAACTGATTTATATTAGAAATTAGCTACATATTGATCAAATATGAAACGATGATCATTTCAAAATACTACATAAAAAATGGTCACTGCACACAATAAATTATCTGTGCCCTTTGAGGCCAAAGAGCATCAACATATGTGCTCATAGACCAATAGCAACAATGCAGCTACTATCTTAATGTCTGTGGTCTCTATGGGCGTTACCATTGCTAAAAGGATACAATAATGTATGTTGTGCTGAAAAGTGTAAGCACAAATAAAGGTCATTTTTTGCCGAGTTCTGACAAAATTGTCAGATGACTACTGTCACCCATGTTAGCACATTTATTGTTATTGTGCCCAATATATCAACTATTTAAAAAAAAAAATTAAAAACCAAAATCACCTACAAATTGAGATTGAGGCTAAACAAAAAATTATTTTTTCATAAAATTAAAACAGCCCACAACCACAAGCATCTATAATATTACAATTTACAAAGATATTCACAACCATTATATATAAAAACAACTAGAATTTTACATGTTCTATCCCCAACTAAAATAAAACTAAAATTATAGAGGTTTTAAGTGAATATCGGTTCTCTCAGGAATAAGAACATCAAATATTAAGGTTTTAAGTGAACCTGCACAATTCTTTTCTCATGTTCGAGTCGACAACCTGGTCATGGGTGGCTTTGGTGGTTGATGGGTTTCGATGTGGCCATCTCGTATAGAGAGGGAAAAAAATGATTGCCTGCTTCTGAACAACTGGGTCGTTTTGATTGGCCCTGCAAAGTACCCCAAGCATCCATTTTTCTTGTACCAGCATCACCATGATGAAGCTCTTCTATAACCCCAGCAACTCCCCTATTCAAATCTGACCCTAAATCATAAAATAAAATAAAATAAAATTCAACATAAAAAGAAAAGGTCAGTAAGTATGATTCGAGTTCACGCTACTCAGGGTGACCGATGCTGTTAAGTTTATTCATCATTGCTCGATCACTCTTGTTAATTTTCATTTTCGTTTCGTTTTGTTTCGGCTTTTCTTTACATCGTAGGCACACAAAACCAATCAAATTCATTCACCTACGTAAGTCACAAAAGCATGAATATTTTGTTTCAAATTTCAATCCCAAAAAACAGAACCAATCAAATTCATTCACCAATTGATGCACAAAGCACACAACTTTGTAACTCAATCCCTATTATTGCACACAAATTCTTGACTTTTAACACAAAACCCACCTCCAATTCCACATAGCAAAAGCTGGGCAATCAATAATTTCAATCCTAACTAAAATTTTAACACAATTATAACCGAAACAACTCTAATCACTTTAACAAAAAAAAGAAAAAAGGATAGATAGAAAGTGGATGTACCTGCAATACGAAACTGGCTGAAGTGAAGAACACAAAGATTTGTGCTTTACTGCTCAAATTTGTAGAGTGAGAGAAAGTACCCAGAACCAAAATCATATTAGGGTTGAGAAATTGGAATTTATTAGAATTAGGGATTCATTAATACAACTATGCCTCAGCCCAATTCTATTTTTTTTTTCATTTGGCCTAAAATAGAAAAAACCAAAAACTTCAAGTTAAAAAAATTAGAGAAATAAATCTGAAATTTTAGAGAGTCAAAGTGAGGAGAGAGAAATAGGCGGAGGACCTTGGGCGAGGAGTCCATTGACAGCTTCGTTGGGGAGGACCTGAGCGCAGTTTTTCACAATCTCCTTTAAGCTTTGCACCAAAAATTAAAAGCAACATATCATGATTGAAGAACACAACAGCTAAAGAGCACTGCGACAATTCCATCAAGTAACACGACCAGTATAGCCAAGCAAGAGAGAAATATGGAGTTCTCACCTCAGGCTCGTGTGAAGAAGTAGAGCTGGAGGACTCCGCCACAGTTCGAGATGGAGTTGGACGGGTTCAACTGCTCTAAAACTCTCGTGTCTCGTTAACTACAGCAAGTTGAGGTAGGTGGAAAAATGATAAGAATGGCGAAGGAGGTGAGATAAGGGAGACGGCAACGAAACCATTTGTGTCGTGGGTCATCGAGAGAAACGATCGGCTTCATCACCAGCTCGGGCTTTATCACCCATCGACGCCACTACTACTTCTCTCTTCGTCGTCCCGTATGCCGCTCTCATACCTATAAAACACACAAAACCCAAACAAAATCATATGTTTCTTAGATCTGAAATTGAAGAAATTTGGCTATGAATTTGTAGAAACTAACTTGAGGATCGAAAAGATGATGGGAAGAGGATTATGAAGGTATAATTTGACGGTCTGTGTTGACAAGTGGAAGGCGGCGCTATTGCTTGAAATACAAGAAGAAGAGGAAGGATATGGGAAGGAGAGTGAAGGGGAAGGAAGAGGAAGGGAAGAGAGAGAAGACTAATAACCTTTTTTCATCTTCAAGTTTTTCATATTTTTTTATTGTAATTTTGCACAAAAGGCATAATTATTTTTATACGTGCCATTTGAAATCTAAAAAGTATATAGTACAAATAATTCAAAATGTACATTTGATTTAAATATATACCAAATATTAGGGCATAAAATTTAATACTAAACGTTTGGGTCAAAAAAATAACTTTTATTTTGTTTGTACCATACTTAGGGCCTTCGTATTTAGACCTCATATAAATACTCGGGGGACTCAAATGTAATTATGTAATAAATGAAGGGGCAAATATATAATAAATAAAGGGGCAAATATGTAATAAGTGAGGAGCCCTTATTCTATAAAAGGACTCCTCACTCTCCTCATTAGGGGAGGTGAAGGTTTAGGCTATGGGAAGAGAGAAAATAGGTTAGAGAGCACACTGCCTCTAGCCTTCTTGTATATTCACCATTCAGAGTGAAACAATATCAACATCAGTGTGGACGTAGCCCAAACATTGGGGTGAACCAGGATACATCTTGTGTTCTTTACTTTCTTGCAGATTCACGGTCGGATTTACGTTGTTCCAAGACCTCTCCGGTTTATGCATCAACATTTGGCGCCGTCTGTGGGAAACGACACGAAAAACTATGTCGGTTCTCTTTCATTTTTTCATCAAATCTCACGCTGTCCACCGTGAATCTGCAGAAACCCAAGAACCAAAAAGCACCCACCCAGTCAATTTTGAGAAAACAAATATGCTCGTTTGAGTTGTTTGACCAAGCAAACCGTTTTCATGAAAGCTCCAGTGGACAGACAAAGTAGAAGATATATTTTCTCTAGAGAAAGAAGCAACAGCAACACATTCCCGTGCGCCCCCGATTTTCAGTATCATCAGGGTTCGCATGAGGCTCTTCCACTGCAGTACCATCACGACCACCTTGTCTCCACCGACTTCAGCAGCAACTGTAGTAGCGGCTGCAGCAGCCACGGAGCCTCGCCGATCAGCAACAGGGCTCACGAGTTATAAGGAAACCCGGCCCCTCCGCCCTCCAAGCCCTAAACCCGCTTCTCTATCCCGAACCCATTTCACACATTTACATAGTAGAGAGAGAAACAAGAGAGAGAGAGAGAGTTGGAATATTGGGTGTGTTGAGAGGAACGATGGGTGTGCCGGCGGTGATGACGATGGGGAAGGGAGGGAGTCCGAAGAGTCCAGAGGCGAAGCTGGGAATACAGGTAGAGGATTTGTGGGACGATCAAGAGCCACAACTGAGTCCAATTGAGAAGCTCAATTCTTGCTTTGAGGGTGTCCCTGTTTCTGCTTTCCTTCATGCTCTTGAGAATCAAGTGATTGAGATAAAGTCAGACACTAGTTTAGCAGAAGCTGTTAAAATCCTGTCCCAACACAAAATTCTTAGTGCATCGGTGGTGGATGTCGATGCCCCTAAGGACGCTAGCTGGATCGACAGATACATCGGTATTGTTGAGTTTGCCAGAATTGTTATGTGGATCCTGCATCAGTCAGAACCACCGTCCCCAGTTACGAAGCTAGGAATTGACGGGGGGAGGGGCGAAATTTTACATAACAAAAAGTCTTAAAAAATGTTGACAATAAAATCATTTTAGATAGTAGACAATATTAATGTCTGTTATAACTCGTACCTAAAAAAATAAATGTATTCATTGTGAAATGACCAAATACCCTTAGTTAAGATGTGTTGAATAAATATAGACCTCTGAGTTTAAATTCAATTTCTTATGTTTTCTTATTTTATTAATTATTTTTCATACTCACGAATGTATGGACAAAAGCATAATCAAATTCAAAGTTATCGCGGTTGAGTTGTGATTTTTGGGAAGGGCATACTGATATGATACAAAATATGGTGGGTCTTAAATAAGAAAAGAAAGAAATATAACAAAGACAAAAGTATAATAATAAAAAGGAAAACTAATGAAAATGATTTGAAAATTTTGAGTTTTAACGATAAAGAAAAAATAAAGGGTAAAGTGAATTGTACCAGGTTTGACTTTTTAATGTAAAAATGTGATTTTTCATTAAAGTGAACAGTACCACGGACTTTTCGTTAAAACTCTCGTAATAAAATATGGTGGAATACAAATAAATCGTTAAAAAGGAAATAAGGATAATAAAGAGAGTTTGAAGATGGCGGGGTAAGAGAAAAAATGGGGAAATGAGACGAAATGTTAGCAAGATGGTGGGGTCAGTTGAGATAGAGGAAATAAGATGAACAAATGAAAAATAAGCAAAAACCAAATGGCGCCGTGTGGAAATATCAAGACCATCATCTTCTTCGCGTGTTGCAGATGTGTTCTGCAACTACACTTTTCAGATTCCGTTCTAAACATAAACCAAGTTTTGCTGCCCAGCTCCCTCTAGTCCTGCTTAATCTCGCCTAAATCCGATTGACCAGAAGGGCGACTACTCGCTCCTAGACTACTTTTCTGGTGAGAGGAGGGGCTGAACCGCGCTCTAGTCGTGTTTTTCCGGCGAGGGGAGTGGCGGCCGCCAATCCTCACCCTCACGTGGCTTCGCCACTGACCGTCCCCGAGGACCCCGACTAGTCCATCTAGTGCAACTGCTATCGCAGCAGTCACTAGAATTGAAAGGTCTTGATCTTGCAGGACTTGATTTCAACTCTGAATTTGCCGTAACAACTTCAGGAAGTTTTTCAAGGCTTTGACCTCTCCGATTCCGCCTCCTCATCCTCCGACGCTCAGTCCGCCGCAGCGTCCCCAAAGATGACACCCGCAGAGATATGAAGCTACCTCTGGATTCATTTCCTAATTTCCCTGTCCAAAGAGCTAAGCTTGGCCAAAGCCCAGTCTATGATTGTCTTACCAAGTCAACTCAGAACATCTGACTCGTCCTCGACCAAATGTAAGGCGCCCGACCCCAAGCTTAATTACCGGCTGGTGATCGGCATCCTGAGCCACCACGACGTCGTATATCGCAGCTTCATATGTCAAGTTCGTCAAATCGGCTGGCGCTCTTGTTATTCTTCTAATCTATAACGAGCTGCATGATATTCTTTTCCAGAAGCTCGATCTCGTTAATGGCGTGCTTTTCACCAGAGGATGAGCTAAACGTGGGTTGTACAAGTTGTTGAGAGAATATTTCAGAAAAGGAAAAGGGAAGAAATGAATAGAAAGAAGAAGTGACAGGAATAAAAGTAGAAAGCCAATGAACTGGAAATGCAAGTGTGGGAGATCATTGCAAGCATCCAATGCAGTCTTCTCAGATTGCATGGGCATCGACCACCAGTAAAGTGAAAGCAGAAAGCAGAAAGCAAAAGTAGAAAAAGGGAGGAAAATAATGAAAAAGGAAAAGATGTCTGGAGATGGAGAAAAGCCAAGGAAGTGGAAAGCATGGCACACCCATACTTACTATCATTGATGAATATTTTATTAAGTTGTCTTCTGCAAATTGGAGCAATTATTGTATAATTATACTGATGTGTAAAGAAGACAACATAACAAAAAAAAAAGTACGTCCAGTACTCCAAAATTATTCGGCAGCCTACCGTTATTATCACCAACCAAGTGATCACAAGTATGTCCAGTACTCCAAATTATTTGGCAGCCTGCCACTATTATCACCAACCAGGTGATCAAAAGTACGTTCAGTACTCCAAAATTATTCGGCAGCCTACCGCTATTATCACCAACCAGGTGATCAAAAGTATGTCCAGTACACCAAAATTATTCAGCAGCCTGCCGCTATTATCACCAACTAGGTGATCAAAAGTACGTCCAGTACTCTAAAAATTATACATGAGCATCACTCATGTCAATCATACATAAACATTCATGAGCATCACTCATGTCAATCATACATAAACATTCAGGAGCATCACTCATATCAACATTCATGACATCACTCATGTCAACATTCATGAGCATCACTCATGTCAACATCCATGAGCATCACTCATGTCAATCAACATAAACATTCATGAGCATCACTCATGTCAATCAGCTTCAAAAACTTCATTTACAAAAGCTCCAGCTTTAAAGCTTCACTTTCAAAGCTTCACCTACAAAGCTTCAGTGCATGGTATACAAAGACCACCTCCGAACAACCGCCACTTTGGCCCATACATGGATTGAATTTGAAGTCTCCAGACAACAGACTCTATTGACTGAAGACTTAGGGGAATACACTATGTACCATATATTGGGCTTCCGCAACTGGGCCTTATGAAAAATACTTGGGGGACTTAGCCCATCATTTATGTATTGAGAAGCAAACCCTTATTCTATAAAAGGGACTCCCTCACTTTCATTAGAGAGCACCCATTATTCATGTATTGAGGAGCGATCCCTTATTTTATAAAAGGGACTCCTTCACCTTCATTAGAGAGCATCGCCGCTAGCAAAGCAACCGCCTCGCCGCGAGCATCACTCCTAACCCATCACTTATGTATTGAGAAGCGAGCCTTTATTTTGTAAAAGGGACTTCCTCACCATCATTAGAGAGCATCGCCGCATGCTGAGCAACCGCCTCGCCGCGAGCATCCACTCTAGCCCATCATTTATGTATTGAGGAGCGAGCCCTTATTCTATAAAAGGGACTCCCTCACCATCAACATCACAAGCCGAGCCAACTAAGGCAACATAAGCCACAAGCCGAGCAGCCTCGCAACATGTGCTACTTCTAGTTGAGCATTATTTCACATTGAGCACCGTTTAATATCAAGTATCAGTTCTAGACAACATCTAGTTACTTCGGCCCACATATGGACAGAATTTCAAGTCTCCAGCCAAAAGACTCTCTTGACTGAAGACTTGGGGGACTACTGTTTGTACCATACTTAAGGCCTCCATATTTAGACCTCGTATAAATACTCAGGGGACTAAAATGTAATTATGTAATAAATGAAGGGGCAAATATGTAATAAGTGAGGAGCCTTTATTCCATAAAAGGACTCCTCACTTTCTTCATTAGGGGAGGTGAAGGTTTAGGCTATGGAAAGAAAGAAAATAGGCTAGAGAGCACATTGCCTCTAGCCTTCTTGTATATTCACCATTCAGAGTGAAACAATATCAACATCAGTGTGGACGTAGCCAAAACATTGGGGTGAACCACGATACATCTTGTGTTCTTTACTTTCTTGCAGATTCACGGTCGGATTTACGTTGTTCCAAGACCCATCCGGTTTTGTGCATCAACATATTTAAATATATTTAATCATAAAATACAAAACTGGATAGCCATGATCAAGGGATCCCGACGAGGATCATTTTTCCTATATTAAATTGGATAGCCATGATACATGAATAGGTGTTACTCATGACTTGTGGGATCCCTCGAGAAACAATTACATTTGTCTTTAACCAAATGAGAATTAAAAGACGATTTGAATTCACTATTGCATCAGTACTAATTGTATGTCCACTACCTAGCTAATTAGAATCTAATAAATCGCACTAGTATATCCACATAAGTACAATGGGTGATGAGGCTAATTGATTAGATTAATAATTTAAGGGTGGGATTAATTAAATAGTCGTTGATTATTAGTTAATTAAACTAGTACAAATATGTACTGAAGTGGGTATTAATTTAGGTTATTCGGTTACCAAGATCAAATGCATATGTGGATCAATTGAGTTTTCGAGTGAGGTTTGAATATATTTGTAGAAATTTATAAATTAATGTTTTAAAATCGATTCACATATGTTGTCCTATAGTCATTCGTAAGAGTTTCACAGCTTATCGATTTATGGTACCACCCGGTACACAAAATGATATGGTATTTATAGGAAACAACACATTAATCAGATTATTATACAATTTATTATATAGGAAGGAGCATTGCGGCCAGCGTTTATGGGAAAATAGCAATGAGAAGCACGAAAGCTTAAAGTCGACTTGATATATTTATGAAACACCGACAAAGTGGATCGAAACTTACACCAAAATGATTCCAGATTAATCCCAAAAATTGAAATTTGTTTATACCATATTTAGGGCCTCGTATTTAGATCTCGTATAAATACTCGGGGGACTTAAATGTAATTATGTGATAAAGGAAGAGGGCAAATATGTAATAAGTGAGGAGTCATTATTCTATAAAAGAACCCCTCACCCTCACAATTGGGGGAGACCATTTCTTAAGCCTTCTCACCCGTCTCACATCCCCTCTCATATTCAGAGGTTATCTCCCTCACCTCTCAGATAAATACATAATCAGTGTGGACGTAGCCCAAACCTTGGGGTGAACCACGATACATCTTGTGTTATTTACATTTTATGCAGATTCACGGTCGGATTTACGTTGTTCCAAGACCTCCGGTTTTGTGCATCAACATCTGGCGCCGTCTGTGCTTTTGGTTGAACATGTCGAAAGCAAAAGCAGAAAAGCAGAAAGAAAAGTACTCTGATGGGGTTTTACAGCTGGAGTACACCAGCTTGTGTTCAAACAGCAGAAAAAAAAGGAGGAGGCATATATACCAAAGCTGCTTATGTCGGTGTAGATCTTGTCGGCAAGGTTGAAAGAAATATTCCCGAGGATGACCCAAGAAACCCAGCTATGATAGCTGATAATTGCCTGCTTACTTCCTCAACCAATATGGAAGCGTTGTCTGCCATCTGCCAAAAGGGAAAAGAGAAAGCAAAAGAGAAAGCAAAAGCAAGGAATAAACACCCCACCAGAATGATGTGATTTACTTTTCTTAGCAGATGTATGATGTGATTTATTTTTCTTATCCTTCGGAGACATCTGTATAAACCCCATCAGAGGGTAATAAAAAAAAAAAAGGCAAAGCCCAAAATAAATGGGCTAGAATGTTGTGTAGAGAGCGAAGGCCCATAAGCCCAAAATAGCTCCAACCAGGCAATCAAAAGTACGCCCACTACTCCACAATTATTCGACAACCTGCCGCTATTACCACCAACCAGGTGATCAAAAGTACGCCAAGTACTCCACAATTATTCGGCAACCTGCCGCTATTACCACCAACCAACCTGCCGCTATTACCACCAACCAGGAGATCAAAAGTACGCCCAGTACTCCACAATTATTCGGCAACCTGCCGCTATTACCACCAACCAGGTGATCAAAAGTACGTCCAGTACTCCCAAATTATACATGAGCATTACTCATGTCAATCATACATAAACATTCATGAGCATTACTTATATCAATCATACATAAACATTCATGAGCATCACTCATGTCAACATTCATGAGCATCACTCATGTCAACATCTATGAGCATCACTCATATCAATCAACATAAACATTCATGAGCATCACTCATGTCAATCAGCTTCAAAAACTTCATTTACAAAAGCTCTAGCTTCAAAAGCTTTCTTTACAGAGCTCCAGCTTCAAAAGCTTCATTTACAAAAGCTCTAGCTTTAAAAGCTTCATTTACAGAGCTTTAGCTTCAAAAGCTTCATTTACATAGCTCTAGCTTCAAAAGCTTCATTTACAGAGCTCCAACTTCAAAAGCTTCATTTACAAAGCTCTAGCTTCAAAAGCTTCATTTACAGAGCTCTAGCTTTAAAGCTTCACTTGCAAAGCTTTACCTACAAAGCTTCAGTACAGGGTATACAAATACCGCCTCCGAACAACCGCCACTTTGGCCTATACATGGATTCAATTTGAAGTCTCCAGCCAACAGACTCTATTGACCGAAGACTTAGGGGACTACATTATGTACCATTTATTGGGCCTCAACTGGGACTCATGAAAAATACTTGGGGGACTCTAGCCCATCATTCATGTATTGAGTAGCGAGCCCTTATTCTATAA